ATTCCCCCTCTCTTAGACTGGGCTGAGTGAAGTGAGGGCTGCACGACAAACGGACAGTCACTGGCAACATGGCTGGACAACCATACTTATTTAATACCCAATAAACATCATTAACCAACTTGACTTGCTTCTGTCTGGTGATAGATACTGATTACTGTTGTTTATTGGGTATTAGATAAGTACAGACGATGGCTGGGCGATGGGCGCAGGGTGTAGAGTGTAGAGAGGTGCTGGACCAATCTCCATCTACCAATGACCCCGGGGATAACGGTTATAGGTGTCCAACATGTTGATAGTGACGCATCCGTCATCATCTTTGTCGTTGTCATCGTTGTCGTTGTCATCGTTGTCGTCGTATTCGTTGTCGTCTTTGATCGTGAATTCGCTATGCAACCTTTCAATGATGTTGTCGATTTGTTTAACCTCAATGTCGCAMAAGAGATAGTTGAMCCGACACAATTCCTCGACAGGGTCGGCATATAGTGCGTTCGGTCTCCTCGCGCTACCGGCCACTGCAAGCCTGAGACCCTCTATCATGGCCATCTTATCCAAATATTGATCGCGGTACATGAGGTAACTATCATAGTCTGTTATCTTCGGGTGCTCACAATAGACAAGACTGATGGAGGCGTATCGTGTCCAGGTAACACTCTTGACGAGATCTTGCAACATGGATCCCCAAGTCTGACCTTTACTAAGTGATATAGTTGGTTGCTCCCTGTACCACATAAACAGAGCATCTGGGGGGTAGCGCGCCATTTGCGTCACTGTTATGATTGATTGTTCGTGCAGAGGAAGAACGGATGAAACACGTGTTTTCATACTGTTATATATATATTGTATATCTATCAGTCGAGTGGTTATTTATCTGTGTATTGTGATTGTATTTGTTGGCTGATGAATATTGGTGGAGTGTTTTGATGTTTGATGTTTGTTGGATATATAAATATGGTGACCTCTCGCTCTCTCTCGCAAGTCAAACACCACACCACCTTGCGTTTCAACTTGAATATCGAAAATCGATTTTATTTTGTGAGCGCTTCATGCATTGGGGGAGTTTTTGATTAGAACAACGAACTGGGCGTACCTATCATTGATTGTTAATATACATGGATATAATAACATATAGATAGATAATATAGATATATAGCGAGTAATGTCAAAAGCAAGAGCAACAAAACTAACCGCGAATGCGATTGCCAAGAGGGTTAATACACCAAGAACAGGTGGCAAAGTACCTAGACAGCTCTTTAATCCGAATACCGCTTTTGTACAGTCTGGTGGAAAGAAGCAAAAGAAGCAGCCCGTGGCGCCCCGTCGTGGACGTAGACGCAATCTAGCTATCAATGAGATCAGGCGATACCAGAGATCGGCAGACCTCCTTATTCCAAAGAAATCTTTCCAGAGATTGGTAAGAAAGATCGTCAGTGAGCACGCGACTGACCTTCGTATTCAAGCATCAGCAATGGCAGCACTACAAACAGCATCAGAAGCATATCTCGTTTCGTTTTTTGAAGGTGAGATAGTACCAGGTTCTTATTACACCTACCAATTACCAATACTAATACCATCACCACCTCTCTCGTTTTATTAAGACATTAATTGCTGTGCTATCCATGCGAAGAGGGTCACCGTTCAGTCAAAGGACATTAAACTTGCATTGATGATTAGGTGATTAGAGACAATCCGAGAGAGTGTACTTATTAGAATATAAAGATATTGGAATAGAAGAGATATGATACAAGCAACACCAAGTTATTAGGTCTTACTTAGGTTAGGCGGTCGTTTATTTATTGGCACATATCTTCTTATAATAGTGTCAATCATGTTTTCAAACTCTTGTTTGCGATTTTGCCTCCTGTCCTTATTGCGGAGATCCTCGAGAATCTGTTCACTATTGCAATGATCGGTGTTTGTATTGTCGTCAACATTGAAATCGACAAAATCAGTGTCGCCACTGTCATCGCTTTCGTCATAAGTGTCGTCAGAGTCGGAGAGGAGAGTATTATTATATTGTTCTGCGTCTGTGTCTGTACCATCATTATCGCTGTTAATAGAATCCTGGTGTGGTACTTCATCGTGTTCATATATATCTTTGACTCTTCCTCGGATCTTCAGTGTTGGTCTGGTTGATGGATCACTCTGGATGATTTTAATATACTTATAAACGGTAGGTTTCCTTTTGTTCTGTATTATTGTGTTGTTATATAATTGTTGTAGCATAAATAATGGGGTTGATGAAGGATTGGATATATATATATCATATAGCCGATCAAGATCACCCTGCGTAAATATAGTTCGTGTACTCATGATATGAAAGAGGAGTAAGTATATATATATTATATATACAGATAGATAGAGTATTAATGGTAGATGTAATGGATGTGTGGTTGGTGCGTTGTTTTAACTTTTTGCGAACCAAAACGGTTGTACTGACTAGAAATAAATCGATACAACACTATTTTATGTTGAAACGGGGCGCCAAAAAAGCCACTTTTAAATATGATCTCTTTGTTTGGGTTTGGGTTGAGATCATATCCTCCTCGCACCAATCAATAGGATAGATAGAACAGATACAAATAAAACATACATTGCACACACATATATAATATAATTATAATGTTAGGAGCAGCAAAGCGAAAATTAGAGGAGATAGATGATATTGACTATGACTATAGGACCTTCACTAAATGGCAAGACAGAGACTTCTACAAATGGGCCTATACTCAATTTGACAAAGAAACAATCGATGCTCTGAGGAAACATAGAGTGACCGCCGATGTGTTCTGTGAATACACAGAGGGCGATCTTAAAGAACTTAGTATCATGTCTGGACAGATAAAGAAGATCATCAGACTCATTTCAATCATCAAAAATGCAATCAATGAGCACACATTGATGAGTAATCCAAACATCCACACTCCCATCAAACAGCACGAGAGCATATATCGTTCATACAAACCAGGCAAACCGACCTTACCATTCAGCTCACTGTCAGTCGTCCCCAGAGCTCCCCACAAACTGACCTCAAACTCAACCAATCAACATTGTCATCACACTA